AGCTCCCTGTGCACAGGGCTTCTGGCCCCACAGGGCAGCCCCGCTGCGGCACACTGAGCTCCTGGCCCCACAGGGCTGTGCCTGGCTGCCCGGTTGCAGCATACCAGGCAGCCCAGCAAGCGGGAAGCCCAGCTGCCAGCCCTCCACCAAGACTCTCTGGAACATCCATGGTCCTGCCAGACAACAGATGTTGACGGACCAGGCAATCCCAGATTAGAGAGGTTCAGAGATTCAGACGGACCAGGCAGTCCAGGATTAGAGAGGTTCAGAGAGTCAGACGGACCAGGCAGTCCCGGATTAGAGAGGTTCAGAGATTCAGAGAGACCAGGCAGTCCCAGATTAGAGAGGTTCAGAGATTCAGACGGACCAGGCAGTCCCGGATTAGAGAGGTTCAGAGAGTCAGACAGACCAAGCAGTCCTGGATTAGAGAGGTTCTGTACAGAGACTTCCTTTTCAATCACATTTCATATTTAAGATAGAACATGGGGAAAAATCTTGTATGATACATATTTTTTTTAATAGTACCCCCCTTCACAAACTGCTCCTGTACAATAATGTGCTTAAAAGTATTGACGGTGTGAATGTTCAGTTAACACCTCCACCATTAATTACTACTCTGCATACCAGCAGAAGAGAGAACAAGCAAAATATGTGGATGTGTGGGAACATGCTACTTGCAAAAAATGTTATCTACAATTTCTGATTAGGCTCTAGTTCTGACTACATCCCTTGATCATCCAGGATTTAACCTGTGTTGACCTTGGAATGGATACAGCCGAGTTGCCCTCCAATACGGTGCTTCTGTGTCCTTTCCCCAGGATATGCACGTTATCAGCACGGATGAGAATCAGGTGTTTGCAGCCGTGCAGGAGTGGAACCAGAACGAAACGTACAACCTTTATATATCCGACACCCGAGGGGTCTACTTCACGCTGGCCTTGGAGAATGTCAAGAGTAGCCGAGGGCTGGAGGGTAATGTGATGATCGACCTCTATGAGGTATGTCACAAGGGCTAATGACGTAGTCCTATCCTGGGAGTTCAGGCTGTTCCAGGAACTTTGCTTTTGTGATGAATGTGCACAACCTTGTACCACGAGTGTAATTAGTGGAGAGATTCTGTGTTTGCATGCAGGCTCATACCTTTGGGCATACCTGCTGTGATGCCTTTTATCCAAGGACTTCAAAAAGCCCAGATTTTGTACTGCTGTACAAAGTCGGTACTGAGTGAAGGTACGAGAAGGTTCACTCTTGCACCTGCAGGTAAGATCCGGCCTGATGAGATCTAGCCATGGACTTAAGAGAGCCCATGCAAAACTCCCCAGATCTGCTACACCTTACAATTGCTGCAACATTCACTACCTGGGAATAAAGAAGGAATTGTAGCTGAATCAGCCAGAATTCCTGCTGTGGGAACAGTAATATCTGGTATACAGCAATCACTTATAACATACCACACCCTGAATAGATGCATCCCAGGGCCACAGAACTTCAAGGATGAGCTTTTTGATGCTATAAGAAGAACAGGCAAGGGAGGAAGGGCAGTTTTAAGTTACCTGTACCACCCTTCTGAGCTTGGTTGCTCTGGGGATTGGAGTGGCCATTGTGTTATTTAAAAGTAATATCTGGTATACAGCAATCACTTATAACATACCACACCCTGAATAGATGCATCCCAGGGCCACAGAACTTCAAGGATGAGCTTTTTGATGCTATAAGAAGAACAGGCAAGGGAGGAAGGGCAGTTTTAAGTTACCTGTACCACCCTTCTGAGCTTGGTTGCTCTGGGGATTGGAGTGGCCATTGTGTTATTTAGACTCCCTTGGATACTTATCTAGGTTATGACCACCTCCCTGCGTAGCCCAGAATCTCTGCAGAGCTGTGTGGGGAAGCCCCAGCCCGACCCTCCCCAGCAGGTTCCCTATGCCAAACCATGCAAAGGTGTCTTTGGAAAACAGACTGGTGCCTGCATGTGTGGGAATCCTTCCCTGGATGGAACCAGGGTTTTGGGGGGGCCCCTTTAAGGTATTCTGACCCATTTGTATGGCACAAAACAGCTGGAGCAGGGAGAAGTTCTCCCTTCAGTTTTCCTACAAGTGATTTGCCCACTGCAGGGTGAAATCCATTCAATCACAGTGGCTGTGTCTACACTGGCACCCTTTTCCGGAAAAGGGATGCAGATTAGCCAAATCGGAATTGCAAATGCAGCAGGGATTTAAATTTTCCCCGCTGCATTTGCATGAACAGGGCTGCCGCTTTTTTCCGGCTCGGGGCTTTGCCGGAAAAAAGCACCAGTCTAGACAGGGATCTTTCAGAAAATAAAGCCTTTTTTGGAAGATCCCTTATTCCTCTTAAAATCAGGAATAAGGGATCTTCCGGAAAAGCCTTTATTTTCCGAAAGATCTAGACTGGCGCTTTTTTCTGGCAAAGCCCCGAGCCGGAAAAAAGCGGCAGCCATGTATATAAATATAAATAAATATAAATCCCTGCTGCATTTGCAATTCCGACTTGGCTAATCTGCATCCCTTTTCTGGAAAAGGGTGCCAGTGTAGACACAGCCATTAAGTTCCTGTAAAAGCGAAGGGACTTTTACCTGAGTATTAACTCCAGGCATTGGTTTGACTTTGAATAGCCTTTAACCACCTTGAGATGTCCATACAGGAAGCCTGGACGGGTGCTGTGTAAATGCAGACAAATTGCAGAAGAATGGGCACGCCATTTCCTCCTCTTTATGAGGTCTTCACTATTAATCTATGTACGGCATTGGCAGCCTGTGGAAAGGCTGTTGCCTCTTATTACTGCCAGTGCAAGGAGGGTTTGACTGCATTACATAAAGGTGTCCTACATCGCAGAGGAAAGAAAAGCTTTTGTTTTATTAGGCTGGCAGATCATAGCAAATGGGATTGAAATTAATGTGATCAGGCTGGAAGCGTCGTCTCTGCTGACTACCTCGATAGAAAGAATATTGTCTGACACAGAGCCTGGTGCAAACCTCCCTTGAAATCGGATGTGCTGGCTGGAGGAGAGCTGAAAGCTATGCAGAGTTGATTCCCCAGGAGGACGGCTGCAAACAATAAGCCCTGGTCTACACGAGGGAGTTATTTCGAAATAACCCCCCCCCTATTTCAAAATAATAAGTGGAACATCCACATGGCCACGCCTGTTATTTTGAAATAACAGGCTGGTTATTTTGCAATCGGTATTCCTGCTTCCCTTGGGGAATAACGCATCTTTTGAAATAGCAATTTCGAAATAGTGTTCGTGTGGATGCTCCACTGCTGCTATTTCGAAATAACTACTCCCCAGCAGGGTTGGCCCACAACATTTTGGCACCTGAGGCAAGGAGCTCAAATGACACCCTAATTCCCCTCACTTGGGCCAAAACTTTGAAAGGTCTCAATTCTGCCTTCTTCCTGTTCTACTCCTCTCATGGTCCTGCTCTGCTACCTACACCAATAAAGGAGAATTAACAGCAGCAAACACAATTTTCTACACTCTGGGTCCTAGTGGTGCCCCTCCACTGTCTGGCACCTGAGGCAGCCGCTTCAGTTCGCTTCATGGTAAGGCCAGCCCTGATCCCCAGAGGAATTCAAAGTAATTACTCCCTAGTGCTTCCTGGAGCTCTAAGTTGAGGTAGCGTGTCCAAATAATGGAGCCTACCTCGGACTAATTTCAAGGTTCCCTCATAGTGGGGACATGCTATATCGATTTTGTTATTTCAGGAGCTATTTGGAATTTAGTTATTTTGAAATAATTTCCTAGTGTAGACATGTCCTAAGTGTGTAGGGGGAGGCAGAGAGAAATGGACTCTGAGCTGGTTTGTGGACCGCAGCGTCGAGAAAAGCAGAGTGTGCGCACCGGGTACTGGGGTGGGGGGTCTGTCATGTGTCAGCTTGTCTGGCTTCAGTGGAGTGTGTGAGGGTGGCAGTGTGTATAGAGTAATTAGGCCAGATTCTCAGCTTGGGTACTTCTGCCTTGCACACTCAACGGAGAGTTGGACTGAACCTGACGGGGACTCCTATTTGTAGAGGTGATGGAAAATGTTCAAATTTCAAAATTTCCCAACAAAAGAGAACTTTTTTTTTTTCCAAAAATGTTGGTGAACATTTTTGGTCTGCTCTTTTGCCCAGCAAGTTAGTTTGGCTAGTTCTCTTGAACGCCCAAAGACCCATGTCATCCAGACTAGCTCACTAGTATACAGATCCATGTGGAGAACGTGATATAAACAATTCCATCTCCTTGGCCAAACTTGACATTTTTGACAAAATATTTCATCACAGCCATGCAGCGAGGGTACGTGTTGGCAGTGACACCATAGAGGTATGTATTGCGTCTGCAGTTGCTTTTCAGAGATCTCTTAATACGGCACAGACTCATAGCATCTAAGATAAGAAGGACACTGCTATTGTCTGGTCTGCCCTTCTGTATAATACAGGCCATTAAATTTCACTCAGCTACCTCCCTGTTGAGCCCAAGAGTATAATTAAACAACATCTAAGTTATATTTTATTCCCTAATGATTAAATTTGTATTTGTTTCAGCTAGAAACTAATTTATAGACAAACACTTGGTGTATCAGCTGTGACGGAGTCATTCATTTCATCTCCTTCTGTCTTTATTAATTGGTTTACCCTTTGTTCTGCCATCCATCACCACTGAGACCAGCCTCTCTCCATCCTCTTTGGAACCTCCCTTCAGGAAGTTGAAGGCAACTATCAAATCCCCCCGCACTCTTCTCTTCTGCAGACTAAACAGACCCAAATCCCTCAGGTATGTCTACACTACAAAGTTAATTCGAACTAACAGCTGTTAGTTCGAATTAACTTTCAATGCATTCATATCCTGTCTGTAGCGGGGGGCCCAGAACTGGATGCAGTACTCCAGGTGTGACCTCACCAGTGCCAAATAAAGGGGAATAATCACTTCTCTAGATCTGCTGGCAATGCTCCTCCTAATGCACCCTGATATCCCATTCGCCATCTTGGCTACAAGGGCGCCCTGTTGACTCATATCCAGCTTCTCATCCACTGTAACCCCCAGGTCCTTTGCTGCCAAACTGCTGCTTAGCCAGTTGGTCCCCAGCCTGTAACAATGTTTGGGATTCTTCCATCCCTAGTGCAGGACTCTACACTTGTCCTTGTTGAATCTCGTGGTAGGTCACTCCCCCTTCTCTATCTCATTGGAAGGGCTGCCCCTCTGCCTCCCAGGACAGGGATAGGTCCATGTGAATCTGCTTGTCCCAGAGCAGGATAGCATGAGGGAAAGGTAGGAACCTCAGGAGTTGGGGGAGGAGTTATGTGATGCAGTATGGTGGTAGGATTGGAACGGGCAAGCTCCATCATGGCAGGGGAAGCCTGAATGTGGGACCAAGTGTTGAAGAAATGGGTTGGGGGGCAGCATGCTTGGAGGATGTCTGCAGCCAAGTAACCAGTTTGTGTAACTCAGGAAGAAGGGGGAAGGGATGGTGGAGAGTGTGGGAGGTGTCGACTCTGGAAGGATGGGGCCTGCCGGGGATCTGTGGAGAGATGCCAGTCACCTCGCGATCAGGTACTGCAGATCATCTGCTGTGAGTCTTGCTAATTTCCCCTGCTAAGAAAAGAACCATCCTCCCTTCGTGGAACTTCTCCTCCAAGGGCTTAGCGAAGTATGTTGAGGCCAACACAGTCCTTGATTCTGCGGCAGCAGTTACCAGTTTGGTTCCAGTTAAGTAAAAACTGCTGTGACTAAAATGGTCCAACAGTTGACGTGGTGTCTCGGTTCCTTCACTTCTCTGCCCTCAAAGCAGAGGTGGAGTGGACACTTGAACCATCCTGAAGGCAGATAGAAGGTTCTCCTCCCCCCGCCCACCCTGCAATCCCTTGATAGCTGTTGCCGTTTATAAAACGACAGCCTAACAGACTTGCTCTCAAGCTATAGTGGATATTACACGATTGATTTTCAGGCTGTTGAACATCCAAGAAACGTTTTGCAAGGTACATTGGGCAAAACAAAGGTATTTTCCTGCTTCATTTTCACATGCCTCTATATGTAATCATGCCTTTAACAAGGCACAGAGCATTTTTTCACAGCCCCAATGGGATTCTGAGTTGGTGGGTATTGGAGCATTGCTTTAGGGGGGAAAAAGTTGGCCAGAGAGTCCAAAGATCTGTCTCTTAACTCTGATTCTACCTCAGCTTTGGGCAAGTCACTTTAACTGCTTCATGGCTCAGTGCAAGATTGGAATAAAAATACATGAAAAGAATTTTAAGGGTTATCTATATATCTATCGGTCTGTCTGTCTGTCTGTCTGAGAGCTTATCTGCGAGTCTGTCTGTTTGTCCTGTGTATCTGTCTGTTTCTTCAAGAACTCCTCCTAAATAGAAAGAGCTAGGACCACCACATTTGGTATGAAACTTCCTCTTATCATAACTTATACTAAGGTCAGGGTTTGGTTGTGCCAGGAAACTGGGATGTGCCTGGAATGGGATTGGTTTTCATTAAACGGAAAGGGAGGGCTGTGCTATATAATGACCACATGAGGGCTGTGCTATATAATGACCATCCCATATCCCCTATAATGACCACATGAGGGGATATGGGATGCAAAGCAGGGACAGTTATACTATACAATGACAATGGAGGGAGCAAGGAGTCAGAGCTGGGCACCGGGACAGCTATAATCCCATTGGAAGAGCCAGGTGCAGAGGTGGAGAAAGGGACAACTATCCACTGTATGGGGAGCAAGGAGTCAGAGCTGGGCACTGGGACAGCTATAATCCCATTGGAAGAGCCAGGTGCAGAGGTGGAGAAAGGGACAACTATCCACTGTATATTTGAGCTTCTCATAAAGCCATACAGAAAAGAGACAGAGTCACCAGGCAGGTGAAAGGGGCTGATTGGTAGTGTGCCTCCCTCCCCACAATTCAGGATTGCACCAGCCCTGAGTCTCCCATGTCCCAGGTGCCCTTTGGGGGGGGGGGGGGCTGAAGCCTCTCCTGATTCATACTGGAACATTTCTAGCTGTTCCTCTGTGTCAGGGAGTGAGGCATAAGTGCACAGTTTGCTGCATTCCTCACTCTGGCTGGGGAGCAAAGGGCACAGAGGAATCTGGATATGCATCTTTCCCCCAGCTGTGTCCACTGGAGTTGCAGTGGTCATGGAGAAGCGTTTCTCACCTTGCCGCAAGCAGCTGTGGGGAGGTTGCCCTCTGTCCCTGGGGCAGCCTGCATACTGAACCCCTCAACCCCAGCCCCACCCCAGAGCATGGAAGCAAGCACATTTGTATTTTTTTTCCAAAAAGCCAACATTGAGTTAAGGCCCCCTAGCAATGTGATTCATGAAGAATTTTGAAATCCTTGGGCAGAAGGCACCATACAAAAGGCAACGTATTCCGTATTCTCGTTTTGTTTGAAGGAGAACATTTCTGTGGGTGACTCGGCAGAGGGACATTAATGACTGTCCCTTGTGTCTTCTCATGGGAGACGGAGGTTGTCCCGTTTTCCTGACAGTCACCTACATCATTTCAGGTTTCCTTTCTCCTTCCAAAGCTCCAGCTTTCCCTCCCCTCTGTAGTGTTTCTTGGTGTTCTTCTGACACCGACCATAACTTTCCTACTTCTAACACCCATTGGCAACGCTCACCCTCGACTCCATCACTCAGATGCTGTCTCTGAGGCCCTGCTGAGTTTGACAGGTAATCACATGTGCACGTCCAATTTTGATCTATTTTTTTTCAGCCATGTCAATTTTTCCTAGGTAGCAGGGATAAAAGGAATGTTCTTGGCTAACAAGAAGATTGACAACCAAGTGAAAACTTTCATCACCTACAACAAAGGCCGGGATTGGCGCTTGCTACAAGCTCCAGACACTGATCTGAGAGGAAACCCTGTTCATTGCCTCCTAGTAAGTTCTGCTTTAAAACACAACTTTCCCCCAGGTAAAAACAGGGGCATGTTGTATGACACAGGCTGGGTGCTTCATGACAAGGGTACCGTGTGGCGAGTCTTGGGCAGCCAGACATCATGGCAAAGCACTGGCTATTTTATTGATTTATTTATGTACCTTTGACAGAGGACACATTATAAAAATCACATGGCTTCTTTCTGCAGAGCTGATGAGCTCCTCTAAGGCAGCAGGTGAAGATAGGGACTCTGTGACGGTGGAGTTGAAATTCTGCATGCTAGGTGGGGTGAGCGAGCTACTTGCAGAGACCAGCAGAGAGTGTTCAGGATCTTCCTGATATAGGACAGTAACTAGAGATGGGCACAGGCCCCAGAATTAAGAGGGGGAACGGGGAGTTTCTACTGTCTGATATAGGTAATTTATTATTGTATCTTCCATATTTTTCTTTTATGTCATATAGCCTGTATAATGGCTCCTTCCCCACTGTGGCACGATAAATGCAGAAGTGGGGGCCAGTAAAAAACTTCCCCCCAAAATCTTAAAAACCTAGATTTTGGGGATAAAAGATCTGCTGCCACCACCCAAGTAATGATAAGAAAATCAGGGGAGAGATCACTTGGGAAATCTCACCCCTAAAGTACAAACCAGGACGCACAAATTAACCAATACTAGGTTAATAAAAAGAAAAGAGAAAGAACTTTTATCATCACCACAATATTCCTGTTGCAAGCATAATGACTAGATGGAAAAGTAACAAGATAATATAGTTATGGAGGGGAAACCCACCATGGGCCAAGAGCTTAATTACAAAGCAGAGCAAAACCCATTTTTAAATGCACAGACATCAGATCCTATTTCCCAAACCATAAAACAATAAAACCTAATGGATTTATCTAAACTTTACCCTACTTACAGATAGTGAAGAAAGAGTCTTTTCTTGGAGGGAGACATAGTGCCTGTCCCCCTCAATAGCTGGAGAGAACTGCTCAGGACAAAGGAGAGGGAAACACCAACAATTCCTTTGTCCCAGTTTGAAATTCCCATCTACATTCCTATTGGCCAACTCTACCTGGGTTAGGTATAGTTAACCCCTTAGTCCCCAGGCTGCTGGCCATCTCTTATGATCATGACAGCCCGAGACTAGGTCAATCAAAAATCTGTGTCTGTGCGTGTAAAATCCTTAGCAAAATGGAACCCTGAGGCAGTTGAATGGAATTTTGCAATTATTTCCAAACAAATATCAGAGGCCTCCCTCCACCGACATGGCCACTCAGTGAGCGGAATAATACTCTGAGTACCCCCACAGGATGCACTTCCCATTGTGGTCTTCCTGTTCTTGTCTCGTGGCTGTAGCCACCTGCTCTCTTGCATCAGCTGTTAGGACAGTCGATTCTTTGAGAGAGGGACCATCGTCTCATGGTGTGAGTGTACAGCCTCTAGCACCGTGGGGCCACCACGTCCTAAGACAACAGTAAATAATAAATATTTGTGGAAGGTGCATGGTGCCTGCATGGCAGTGTTTATGGTCAAATCCGGGAGCATTGGGATCCACGGTTTCTGGTTCAGCCCATTATAAATATGAAGACTATTTGAAAAATTCAGATCTGGGTTAGAGGCTTTGGTTTGGGTCCATGTCCTGTAACACAAATCCTAGGTGGTAGAGATGCTCTGCTGGCGAATGGGAAACAATGGGATCACTTGCAGTAGGGGTAGCATGTTCTCGGTAGGATACAGAAGGCTTTACTAGCCTATCTACAGAACGGTGGGACTTTTGCACAGTTATGACGGGGGCGTTGAGATGAGAGTGTTAAATAGGGTGGGGGCAGACGTCCCTGAAGGGGCAGATCACAATCAGCACCATGAAATGCAGACACTTCTTCAAAGGTTATCTGAGGCTTGTGGGGGTTCAGAACCAAGCAGCACATCCCATGAGATTCATTTCTCCTGTAAGATTTTCAGGACTTGCTGCTCATAGTCATTTAAAAAAATCCCACACAACACCCCAAAACTCTTACTGGATAAGTCAGTTTGCCCTTTGGGTACCTGATTTTCCCCACCTGTAAATGGGGTTAATGATCCTGACATCCTTTGCATCGTGCTTTGCGATCTACTGATGAAAAGTGCTGTGTAAGAGGTAGGTGGTGGTAGTAGTTATTGTTGTGGGTTAGTGCTTCTGGCAAGAACTGGCGGATCTTTTGGAAAAGGCTTTATTTTCCGCAAGATCAGCTTCTGGACTGGTGCTTTTCTCTGGGAAAGCTCCGTGCCGTGCCGAAAAAAAGTGGCAAAGCTCCAGAAAAGCTCCATGCCGAAAAAAAGCGGCAGCCATTTTTATGCTAATGAAGTGGGGGAGATTTAAATCCCCGCTTCATTAGCAATTGCGATACGTCTAATTTACATCCCTTTTATGAAAAAGGGATGTAGTCTAGACGTAGCCTTAGTGTATGTCTAGACTACATGCCTCTGCCGACAGAGGCATGTAAAATAGGCTACCCGACATAGTCAATGAAGCAGGGATTTAAAGATCCCCAACTTAATTAAAATAAAAATGGCCACCACGCTGTGCCGGCTCAGCTGATCATCAGCACAGGGTGCGAGTCAAGACATGGATCAGTTGACAGGGAATGCCTTTGTCGACCACTCCTGTAAACCGTGTTTCACGAGGCATAAGGGAATGGTCAACAAAAGCTTCCATTGTTGACCGATCCGCGTCTTGACTTGCACGCTGTGCCGACAATCAGCTGATCCGGCACAGCATGGCGACCATTTTTTATTTTAATGAAGCTGGGGATATTTAAATCCCCACTTCATTGACTATGTCGGGTAGCCTATTTTACATGCCTCTGTCAGCAGAGGCATGTAGTCTAGACATACCCTTAAGGAGAGGGAGGAATCCAAGAGCTATAGAAAGATCTGGTAGACAGAAGGAAACTAGGGACAGGGCGGTTGGAGGGTTTGGGCTCTGGTCTGTGTAGGGTAAGCAGATAGTAAGTGTGAAAAATGGAGACAGAGGGTTGGGGGATGAAAGGTGCTTGTAGAAGTAAAAGCCCCAACTATCAGGACTGTCCCTATACATTCAGTACATCTAGGTCTGAGAGCCCTGCCCTGGAAGACTGAAGATAAACCAAAAGCAATTTCAGCTTCTGACCCTTATGTATAATCATAGTGAGTAATTATGTATGTATTAATTGTTCTGTGTGTTCCTGTAGCACCTGATGAGGTTGGGGGCTCCGTTGTGCTGAGAGCCCCTTATAGGTGTATGGCTCTTACACTCCCCACTGTATAGCTGGCACTAAGAGCAGCCCAGTTGTGTTGATTTCAGTGCGGTTGCCCTGCTGTGAATCAGAGCAGAATGTTCCTTAGAGAATGTGAGTGAGTTGCTCGAGGTCATGTAGCTGGACAGCATCCCAGTACCAATTACCCTCATAGAGCTAGTCACTCTTGGCCCCAAGTACATTCCACTGGACTCTCCTGCTTCACCACTATCAGGGCTTGACTCGTCTTTGTTAACCCTGTAGCTAAGTTAGGGTATGTCTACACTCCCCCGCTAGTTCGAACTAGCGGGGGGAATGTAGTCAGCCACAGTTGCAAATGAAGCCCGGGCTTTGAATTTCCTGGGCTTCTTTTGCATGAAGCCGGCCGGCGCCATTTTTAAATGCCGGCTAGTTCGGCCCCCGTGCCGCGCGGCTACCCGTGGCACGGACTAGCTAGTTCGGATTAGGCTTCTAATCTGAACTAGCTGTTCCACGTGGAACGAAGTGTACAGCTAGTTTGGATTAGAAGCCTAATCCGAACTAGCTAGTCCGTGCCGCGTGTAGCCGCGCGGCACGGGGCCCGAACTAGCCGGCATTTAAAAATGGCGCCGGCCGGCTTCATGCAAATGAAGCCCAGGATTTGAATTTCCTGGGCTTCTTTTGCATGAAGCCGGCCGGCGCCATTTTTAAATGCCGGCTAGTTCGGCCCCCGTGCCGCGCGGCTACCCGTGGCACGGACTAGCTAGTTCGGATTAGGCTTCTAATCTGAACTAGCTGTTCCACGTGGAACGAAGTGTACAGCTAGTTTGGATTAGAAGCCTAATCCGAACTAGCTAGTCCGTGCCGCGTGTAGCCGCGCGGCACGGGGCCCGAACTAGCCGGCATTTAAAAATGGCGCCGGCCGGCTTCATGCAAATGAAGCCCAGGATTTGAATTTCCTGGGCTTCTTTTGCATGAAGCCGGCCGGCGCCATTTTTAAATGCCGGCTAGTTCGGCCCCCGTGCCGCGCGGCTACCCGTGGCACGGACTAGCTAGTTCGGATTAGGCTTCTAATCTGAACTAGCTGTTCCACGTGGAACGAAGTGTACAGCTAGTTTGGATTAGAAGCCTAATCCGAACTAGCTAGTCCGTGCCGCGTGTAGCCGCGCGGCACGGGGCCCGAACTAGCCGGCATTTAAAAATGGCGCCGGCCGGCTTCATGCAAATGAAGCCCAGGATTTGAATTTCCTGGGCTTCTTTTGCATGAAGCCGGCCGGCGCCATTTTTAAATGCCGGCTAGTTCGGCCCCCGTGCCGCGCGGCTACCCGTGGCACGGACTAGCTAGTTCGGATTAGGCTTCTAATCTGAACTAGCTGTTCCACGTGGAACGAAGTGTACAGCTAGTTTGGATTAGAAGCCTAATCCGAACTAGCTAGTCCGTGCCGCGTGTAGCCGCGCGGCACGGGGCCCGAACTAGCCGGCATTTAAAAATGGCGCCGGCCGGCTTCATGCAAATGAAGCCCAGGATTTGAATTTCCTGGGCTTCATTTGCAACTGCGGATGACTACATTACCCCCGCTAGTTCGAACTAGCGGGGTAGTGTAGACATACCCTAATAATGGTGGTACTAATAGCTGGCGTTTACAGAGCACTTTCCATCTTCTGTAGAACTTCCACCTGCACAATATGCGTCAATGGAGTGATACCCATACAAGAGAAAAGGAAACCGCAAGCAGCACTGTCTAGAAGGATTGAAGTCTCAAAAGACAGATAATCTCTGTTGGAGTAAGGGACTGAGTGAATTACTCCCACTAGCACCCATCTGCAAAATGCCCATGGGCAACATTAATTATTTTGTTTTTAAAAACTTGAACCCCCGTTAGACCTTCATAATGGATACAAAAATAAATGGAAGAATCCCGTTTCCCTGACTGCCTTTCTGCTTTAGCTGAACTGGGTTCTCTCCCCAGAATCCTCCTCTGGGTTGCTATGGAGTTTGACCCCACAATGCTGTACAATGCAGTTATGGCGTTTGGCATGTGGTGACGCTGCTGTCCGGTCTTTTTCCTTTGCTTCACATCAGCAAGAGTTCACCTCCCTCCTGCCCACATGGCCTGTGGGTTTCACCTCTGAGGGAGTAGTAATTGCTGACTTTGGTAGTTCACATCTTCACTGTGGGATTCTAAATTCAAACTCTGAAGGGCCGAAGTGTGGTCATGACAGGGAAAATATACTCCAAGTGTGCATCCTGACCTAGCCAAAGGAAGGCCCAATACAAGGCTGACCATTAACAGATATTTCCTTTCACTCAGTAAATCACAATCCTGAATTCTGTAATTTCCACTCCAACTCGCCTGATGAAGTGGGCTTTACCCATGAAACTCATGATCTTATATATTTGTTAGTCCCTCAGGGATGTCTACACTGCGGGCTAAAGTCGAGTTAAGATACGTAACTTCAACTATATTAATTGCATAGCTGAAGTTGAAGTAGCTTAACTCAGCTTTTGACGCTGTCTACACAGCAGGAAGTCAAAGGAAGAACACTCTTCCTTCGACTACCTTTACTCCTCATGAAACGAGGGTTACGGAAGTCAGAGTAGGAAGCCTGTTATTTCAAAATTATTTCTAAATAACGGGTTTGCTGTGTAGATTCACACTCTGTTATTCTGAAACACCACGAGTTATTTTGAAATAAGCATGCCATGTAAACATAGCCTTAGGTGCCACAGGGCTGCCTGTTGTTTTTAAAATTACCGACTAACACGGCAAGCTCTCTGAAACCTTTATAGTGTTCACTATAGGTCTTTTCCATGTCTAATGTTTATGACTCATTGTGGGGTATGGCGTCTATGCTCCGGTTCATCATGGTCTTCCTCGCACTCCAGGTCAGCGATGGGCAACCTAGGCTAGTGAGGGGGCTGCATTAGTGGCCCTCCTTCATTTCAGTGGGCCGCGAGATTGTTGTAACCAAGATGCTCTCTTGGGATAGGGCAGTTTTGCTCGTTGCTTGCTATCTGTCAGTGCGCCAACTGAGCTGTAGCAGCATTTTGATTGGTGTCTCAGTCTACGGGGTTGGGGCAGTGTCTTCACCCCCACAAGCTCACTCAGATTCCCTTGATTTTCCTCATCGTGAGTGGGCAAATGCTAATCAGGTGGCCCCTCCCCTGGTTCCTCCATGCACCCTCTTATCTAGACTGTGCCCGGTCCTATCCCCGCACCCGAAATCCAGACAGTCCCTCCTAGTTAATTACAGCTGAGGCTTACCTGCACTGACTGGAGAGAGTAGGCAGACCTGGGCCCTCCCCCGCTCGAGGTCTCGGCTGAGGTCCCTGAGGGTACGTCTAGACTACAGGGTTTTGGCGACAGAAGCTTTGTCGACAGATACTGTCGACAAAGCTTCTGTCGACAAAGAGCGTCTAGACTACATTCAGTTCTGTCGACAAAGCAAACCGCTTTGTCGACATAACAGTGTGGACGCAAAGGACAGTTTAGATGTAATAATGCCTTCTGTCGACAGAACTCTGTCGAAAAAAGGAGTTACTCCTCGTAAAATGAGGTTTACCAGCGTCGACAAAACTGCTGAGTTCTGTTGATGTTATGTCGACAGAACTCAGCGGTAGTGTAGACGCAGGTTTAGTTTTGTCGACAAAAGTGGACTTTTGTCGACAAAACCCTGTAGTCTAGACACACCCTAAGAGCAGAGATAATGATCTTCTGCTTGTTTGGTGGGACTGTAGCCCACAACTCACCAACCCCCGGGTTCCTTTTATCCCATCCTGGGTCGCTTCCTATGCTTCACGTCCTTGCACCACGTCTGGTCCATGTATCTACGCTGCCGCCGGTCTTGCTCCAGTGGCGCTGACACCGCTCCTCGGTGGCGAGTGCCCTTCTCCTGCCCCACCGGGTGTCTCTCGCCACGTTGACTGGGGCAAGTCCCTCTTGCCCCGCTGGGTGTCTCTCCCCCCGCTGACCATGGGAAAGCTCCTGCTTCCCTCCTTGACATCTCTCTCTCCTACCTTGAGGCAGGTGCCAGCTTTTTGAAACCTGTGCCTCTCCCCCCCCTGACGCCCGCACATGTGCCTTTCCCCCACCGGCCAGCTGGTGCCAGAAGCTTCTGCGCTCGTGCCGGCAGCTGCATGTGAGCAACCCCCCACAGTGCCTTAGCAGGGCCGTCGTCTGGCCACAGAGCGCTTCTGCTCTCCCCACGACCATGTGGGGTCCAGCCAGCTCTGGCTCCCCTGAGCCCGACACCCCATCACGATTGGATGTAGAGGGAGCGCACGGCTCTCCCAGTCAATTCTGTATGCAATCAGCATGCCCCTCACTTCACCTGCCCTGGTTTTACCTGTGTGTTGCTTTTGTAATAGCGGTAGCAATAAAAAAAACCAACAACGTGTATGGAAACCAGCAGAATCTGGCAACCCCGCACGTGGGCAGCAGTAAACAAAATGCCTCTTGGACCACATGTAGAACCCCAATGGGCTGCAGGTTGTCTACCACTGCTCTTGACATTAGACGGGGGGGGGGGGGGGGGAGTAGTATTCTTATTTCTCAGTTATGCTCTGGGAGTTTCCTCCAATCTTTGCGTGAACGCGTGGTAGAGATGGTAATTTCACGCACCGAGGGGGGGTGTTGTGTTATCATTGGACTAAATCCTGAGAGAGAAGCTGAGGAATTGCTGGGCCACTCCAACTCCTGTGAGTTTTAGTGAAGACACAGCCCCCTGCCTATGTCTTTATTCCACCCTCAGGTCTTTGTGTCGTCTTCCATGGGCACGGAGCTCTCCCTCAGGTCCAGCCCACCAAACACTGCCTTTCCCTTCCAAACCATTCAGATTGTCAGCCTTGCTGTTCTACCCCTTCTCTGCCCTCTCCCTGCTCCACACTCTCATCTCCTCAGGGTTTGGTTCTCTGGCTCACGATTTATGTTCCGTGCGTTTCAAAGGATAATAATCATGAATCATACCCATGCACGGCGCAGCTGTAGTGTCTAATAGGTGTCTCCCCTTTGTTGTCCTTGCAATTTTGCCTTGTTACTGTAGCATGGAACAAAACTCTATAAATAAAGGGAATCGAAATGGGGGGAGAAGAAAAAACCAGCTTTTCCCTGCCAGGGTTTATGAGACAGTCCGGGGTTCGCCTTTTCATTAGACTGCCTGTGTCAGTACGGAGTGGCTGGCAGGGTTCCGCTAGCAGAACGGTGCTAATGGTATCATCAGACCTTGTTACACTGGTATTCACAGCCCGGCTGGCACTTGTCCCTTGGAATGACATTCCATTTGCTTCCAGCTTTTCTTATTTTCTATTTTGCAATCACTTTTTTGGAGCCTTCAGAAAAGGAGGAAGAAACTCTAGGTTCTTACGGGTTGTCTGTAAGAGCAGGGGATTCCTTCCAGTCCTCTTCTGATGTTCTATGGTCATGCGGCACTGATTCTCGAATACCCAATGGGAAGGGAGAATGAATAGGGATGCTCTTTGTGACTTGTCTCTTTTTCTCCCCTTTCTTTCTCTTCAGCCCTATTGCTCGCTGCACCTTCACCTCAAGGTCTCCGAGAACCCCTACACTTCTGGAAACATCGCCAGCCGAGATACTGCCCCTGGCATTATTGTGGCTTCTGGTATGAAACATTCAGTTACCATCTATTGCAGGGCTACTCAATGTTGGAAGCCCAGAATGATACTCACAGCACGTGCCGAGGGCTGCAACTTAATGCAGATATATGCAAATATAGTGTGTGTCTACACTGCAGCGTTTTTCCAGGAAAACGGCTATTTTTCTGGAAAAAAAAAACACACTGCAATTGAGTTCTTTTGACAGAAAGTCAAAAGAACAGAGGGTTTTTTCCAGCGGCAGTAAACCTCATTCTACGAAGAAGAAGTCTTTTTCCGAAAAAGCTCTTTCGGAAAAAGGAATGTGTGGACGCAGAAGAGGGAGTTCTTTTGAAAGAAGAGGCCTCCAGGAAATAACACAGTTGTCTCGGTGGCCACTCCATCCAGACAAATCACAACTGAAAGGCGAGATAGCGTCCAATCAATGTGGACGCTATCTTTCGAAAAAGCACATCACTTTTTCGTTACACTTTTTCTGTGTGGATGCTCTCTTTTGACAGAAGTTTTTCCGGTAGATCTCTTCCGGAAAACCACCTTCCGAAAGAAGCCTACAGTCTGACGTTGCCATATATGCAAATACATGCAAATAGCTTCTTTCACGCTGACGGGCATGAATACAAAGATTAAAGGCAAGACTACACAACACGCAGGCCCCATTTCAGTCAGTTCTGCTGATATTAATAAAATGCAACATTTACCCAATTTCCAGTCGTGTGACAGCACTTTTAATGCACAATGGCAGTCCAGGAATTTAACTAGTAACATGCATATCAACAGAAGACCAATATATTGACTCACCGTTGTAGAGTGTGTGCCCAGTGGAGGCCATGTTCAAAGGATTCCACCTGCAGGTCGCATGTTGAGCCCCACGTCAACCCAAATCACACCATAGGCCACAAACAAATGGGCCCGAGGTCTATGTGTTGAGTAGCCCTGATCTATTGTATGCAACTATTTGTGTCCATCAGATTCTGTTTGTGGCATTTCCACTGGGCATGGAAGTAGAAGTATTTGGACTTTCATCTTGTAATTAAGTTTCCTGCCAAACTGAACTCACAATTCTTCCCCCACCCTGGCACTGAAATCCTTTGCCTAGAAAAAGGTAAAAATCATCGGCAGCACTGAGGCAGCTCCATTTTCTGTGTCTAAAAATGTCTCACTGAATAATGTTCTTACAGGTAACATCGGTAGCGAATTGTCAGACAGTGACATCAGCATGTTTGTTTCATCGGATGCTGGGAACACATGGAGGCAGGTAAAGAACGTGCGAATCAGTCATGAGTGTCAAACAAAGGGAAGTTGCTTTTAAAAATGTGATCTTTGTTTTTCTTTTGGGTGGCAGATTAATTGACACTAAGGCTACGTCTACATTGGCATCCCTTTCCGGAAAAGGGATGCTAATGTGACGAGTCGGAATTGCAAATCCACGGGGGATTTAAATATCCCCCACGGCATTTGCATTTACATGGCTGCCGCTTTTTTCCGGCTTGGGGATAAGCCGGAGAAAAGCACCAGTCTAGACACGATTCTCCAGAAAATAAGCCCTTTTCCGGAGGATTTCTTATTCCTACTTGAAAGATATTTAAATCCCCCGCGGATTTGCAATTCCGACTCGTCACATTAGCATCCCTTTTCCGGAAAGGGATGCCAATGTAGACGTAGCCTAAACCAAGAGATGGGGGATCCTTCCTGGGCTTTTCTGACACCATTTCCTGTTGAAAAGAGGGATGTGCTCATGCCACAAAGACCGGGCTTTTGGGGAGTTTGATTGTTGAGTTCAATGGGAGATTAGCCACAGATGCTAACTTCACTAGTGAGTTGGGTAGCACATATAGCAGTTTTAAGAAGGATGGCCTAGTGGTTTCAGCAATTGTCTAGGATTTGGGAAAGCTAGGTTCTATCCCTGTTCTGCCACAGACTTCCCATGTGACCATGTTGCAAATTCCTTAGCTTTTTCTGTGCTTGGTTTTCTATCTGTAAAAATGGGGTAAGTGATTTGTCTTCTCACAGAAAGTGTTGTGAAGAAAGATTAAAAACTGTGAGGTGCTCAGATACTAAGGGTGTGTCTAGACTACTGAGTTTTGTCGACAAAAGTGGACTTTTGTCGACAAAACTATACCTGGGTCTACACTACCGCTGAGTTCTGTCGACATAAGGTCGACAGAACTCATCAGTTTTGTCGACGCTGGTAAACCTCATTTTACGAGTCATAACACCTTCTGTCGACAGAGTTCTGTCGACAGAAGGTGTTATTGCCTGTAGGGTTGCGTCTAGACTACAGGGTTTTGTCGACAAAGCAGCTTGCTTTGTCGACAGAACTGAATGTGTCTAGACGCTCTATGTCGACAGAAGTTTTGTCGACAGTATCTGTTGACAAAACTTCTGTCGACAAAACCCTGTAGTCTAGACGTACCCTAAGGTAATAGGAACCAGTGCGAAGAGCCTTCTGTGGAGACAAAATTTGTATGTGCATCTGCAAAAATGAGCTGTGGATTTGCAGGGCTGAAAGCTCAAATCTTTTAGTTTGAGCCCAGATCTAGCAAAAAGATATTATCACACAGCTGTATGGCTGCCTCATGCTGACCTTTCTTTTAAAGTTTCAGCTGACACTCATTTTCACAGAATTTAATGCCCTCAGGCAAGTCACTTACCCCGGTCCTCTCTCCCTCAAGTCTGGTCTGCAACTGTTCTGACTCTGGCACTGAAACTCCTTATGTAGTCCTTCCTGGCCCCTGATTGGCTGGTTTCTTCCCAGCCTCTCTAGAAGGTCTGGAGGACTTCTCTGTGGCCTTTTCTCTAGCTTCTGGGCCTGGTTCTCCCAGTTACAGGGGTCTTCAGTGCCTAGTGGAATCATCATCCTATAATACCAACTCCTATCAGGCCTGGAAAACTCATTACAATTAACTGCTTATGTGGTATTCATCCATAAACAATGTCCTATAAGGTATGTATGATGATTATATTCTTTAAAGTAGGTCTATATACAGAAGATATGTCCTTACAGTTTGTATTTAGGTGTTAATCCCTAGCAGAGGTGAAAACCTAGTTTTGCCAGGCAAAGGGAAGCATATTCACAGGCACTACGTAGATTCAGATGTAGATGAATTGCAAACCAAAACAATGGCAGCCTTATTGACAGAGGAGTCAAGAGGTGCATGGGGAGTCAGCCGGAAGAGAGGAAGAGCAGGGTTCCTCCTGGTGACAAAGACAACAGTGGGAGCGTTGAGAAATATAAGAAGGAGCTTAAAACCATTTGGGGGTCTACTCACTGAAGGAGACCCCTTCAAGCGTCTGGAAAATTTGTGAAAACTTGGGTTCTGGCTTTGACCTACAGCTCTGACAAAGACTGAATCCCTGAGAGGCAATCTACTTGTTTAAAAAGGACAGTTCACCAGCGAGGAGCGTGGGCATCCGACTGTGTTTTACGGTTTGTTTTATATGCCCAGTACTCTCACTCACTTCTCTTTTGGATCTTTGCTCTTTGTAAATAAACGTATTCTCCTTTTTCTGATGCATGCATGCAGCATACTCCCGATTTCCCTAACCCCCAAGTTCCCAACCTTCGTGTTATCCAAATCCCTTCCTTGCCCCGCCAGATTTGAATAATGCAGCGCTTCCAGTAATGGAGCAGAGACTTCCAGCCACAGGAGACGTCCCCCTGCTGCTGAATGGCTCCTGTGGCAGCACAGGGAGCCCTCCAAAGCCCGCCCTGTAATGGGAATGAGGGTGCAGGGCCATGACAGTGGAGCTGCAAAAGGGGCTCACTATGCTGCCGCTTCTACCCTCTCGCTTAGCTGAGTTCCCGACTATTGGACTGACCCTCCAAGCCTCTGTGCTATTGGGATAATGGGGAGCAGGCTCAGCAGAAGCTTCCTGAAGGTGGGAGAGTCATGGGTGCCCAAACCCAAGCCAGACCCTTTCTCCACCTCCCCAAGGCCCTGCCCTCATGCTTCCCCTTCTCCCACAACCCTGCCCCCACATTGCCTCTCCACCCGCCCAAAAGCCCACTTGCTCCTCTCCACCCCTCCCCCCGGTTAGTCACTCAGGCCCCCCTGTTCCGCCCCCCTGACAGGGAGTGCACAGAACAGCTCAATGCCGTGGTGTTTAGGAAATTGTGACTCCTCAGCTAATCAAACATGCTGGTGTGTGCCCCGTTCCCTTTGGGGACAGCCAATGGGGTTATTTCTATGAGCGGCCAATGATGGGCTGAGCAGTGCCGGTGGTGTGTGTAGAAGGCCTTAGGGGCTAGCATATACCTTGTTATGGCAGTGCAAAGGAAAGTCCGGGAGAGCCCTGGCAAGCGTGCATGAGTGGCTACAAGCTTGGCAGCAGTAGGGAGCTGACTTTCTCTCACTGGAGGCTGAGAGAACAAGGTGACTCACCAACCTGAGCAACCTGAGGTAGTGTCACCATCTAGTGCATTCTCTGGTGGACCAGACCGTCCCCACGGAATAGTCACTCGTGTCAGTGAACCGTAGCTTTCTCACGGGGTGTCATTTTCACATCAAAAGCTATGAATGGGACACATCCAGCCCATTTAATTAGTGTCATTAACACAGGTCCTACAATTGACAGGTGACTGCTTTTCCTGTTTTTATATATATATATATATATA